ATGGTTTGGGACCTGCCTTTTTTAGCCCACTTTCTACACCTTCGCCCTCTGGGCACAGCCTTAGCTCCTTTCCCTAGCATCTGTCCTCTGGGGTTCCTACGCTGAGCCCAGCCCAGCCCAGATGGTTCCTTCTTTCACTTGTGGACAGTTTTCTCTAGTCTTTTGGTCTTGGTTAGACGTTTCCCCTTTCTGTGCCCGCTTCTGACTCTCCTGTCTTTTATCTTGTCTTTACCCTTTGGTCTCTTTCTGCCTACTTCTGACTTCTTCGCAACATACCTTGCCCTTCTCTACACTCTAGTAGCCCTTTCGCTGTTTCATTCACGCACTCCTGCCTAGGGTTCCCCTCTCTCTCCCTGGCGCTTTTTCTGACCTAGGGCTGCCCCCCCCCCGCGCCCCTTGCTCTCCCTCTGTACCCCAGGTCCCACCCAGCACCTATTGTCCCAAATGCCCCTGTTTCCTAAAAAGGGGTAATAGTCCAAAGGAGAGAAACGGAAATGACAGAATGAACATGCTTGTCTAATATTTCCCAGAGGGGGTCAAGTAGTTACTGCTTCTCCCAGTTTTTCTCCCCGAGCCCGGAATCTCATGATTTTCTCCTAATGCCCTTCTCTTCAAATAGAGATTAATGAATTGCCAATCACCCTGAACTGGAGGCCAGGAGACCAGAAAACTGTTGCTGTCTCCTGTGCTGCCCTAGTAGCAGAGCATAGGTTGGCCATGGGCAAGGTGCACAGCTAGCAGCCTGCCCTGTGTAGAAGAAACCAACTGGCTAGATGGTATGCACTGTGCATTGTGCATTCAGATTTACAAATCTTGATGGTAAAAGTAAGGTACTGTTTCCACCACCCACAATAAATACTTTTCATTTGTGTCAGAATAAGGTAGGAAAATGTTATGACTTGACCTGAAGTTTGTAAGTCACTGGTCACTGGCCACTCCAGGGACTTTTCAAGATGGAAAGTAGATTTTGCCTGAGAGAAATGATAGTCCCCTAACGCCTGTGCCTTTCTAAATCTTAATCGGTACTAGAAAAACAGCCCTGGTATGTGTGCCCCTGCTGGAAGCACACAACCCTAGTGTGTGCCTAGGTCACAGAAAATGACAGGCCTGGCGATGGAAAACCAGGTATGTCTTTTGGTGGAGAAGTCTGCAAAGCACCCCAAATAGGTATATTCCTTGAGGGTAATTCAATAGAATCCTCTCCTCCCAAACCAGAAATTGAGACTTGATATGGCTTTGCAAGGTTTTAAAACACTTTCTCATCTATGGTCTCAATGAGTGGAGCAAAGTAGCTAACACCCCAGACCTGCCCTCCAAGAAGAAAACCTTACCCACCCGGATGAATGGGAAGTGACTGCTGAAATAGGTGTGCTATTTTTAATAGGTGTTCTGCTTTCAGAGTGCTCTTGGCATGTGTCTTCTAATGGCTGTATTTAAAAGTTATATGACTTCCTCTTTTCTTGCCAGAGCAGGACTCTTGGTCCCCCTCTCCCCACCCTCTACATGAAACACTACTGGTGAAGGTTTGGCTTGGCCAAGCATGAATGTTCTCAGGTGGTGTGGCAGTCCTTGGCTTCCACAGTGAAAGCCAGTCATAAAGAGAGCCTCTCTTCATTGCCCACTTCCTCTGTGCCTGGCACCACTCTGAGGGCTTCAGATATGTATGTTCTGTTTTTCAGTCCTACCAATAACTTCCATTCCCACCCCACCCCCATTTTACAGAAGAGGAAACTGAGTCTGTGGGAGGTGAAATGATAGACTGAAAATTAATTGGATTAAGATAGGGCAAAGCCAGAATTTGAATGTGGAGCTTTTAGCTTGGAAAGCCCTTGCCAGTGGGCCTCTGCCTTCTGGCCCCATCTACCCCTGCCACCTCTCTGTGCCAACCCTGGCTCTGCTCTGCTACCTTTGGCCTCACTGATCTGCCTCTCCTCTCCTCTCTCCTTGTAGCAGAGGGACCTGAACTCCTTCCTGTGGACTATTCGGCGCCATCCCCCAGCCTACTTGTTTGGCACCATCCACGTTCCATATACCCGAGTCTGGGACTTCATCCCTGATAATTCCAAAGCAGCCTTCCAGGCCAGCACCCGTGTCTACTTTGAGCTGGATCTGACAGATCCCTACACCATCTCAGCACTGGCCAGCTGCCAGCTGCTGCCCCATGGGGAGAACCTGCAGGATGTGCTGCCAAGAGAGCTCTACTGGCGCCTGAAGCGCCACCTGGACTACGTGAAGCTGATGCTGCCCTCATGGATGACACCAGCACAGCGCGGCAAAGGGCTGTATGCTGACTACCTGTTCAATGCCATTGCTGGCAACTGGGAGCGCAAGAGGCCAGTGTGGGTGATGCTCATGGTGAACTCACTCACGGAGACAGATGTGCGCTCCAGGGGTGTGCCTGTGTTGGACCTCTACCTGGCCCAGCAGGCTGAGAAGATGAAGAAGAGCACTGGGGCTGTGGAGCGGGTAGAGGAACAGTGCCATCCTCTCAACGGGCTCAACTTCTCCCAGGTAGGAACCCAAACGCCAGCCTAGCCAGCAGCCCCCACAGTATCTTGGTCCTGGTCTCTGATCTTTGTCATGCTCCAGCAGACAGCCAGAGCCAGGGCCCACCCGCCCCCTCCCCCTTCTCCTTCCACTCTCTGCCTCAAGCAAAAGCATCTCTCTGGCCCTGGGCTGCTTTGTTGGGGTCAGGGGAAACTAGTACGTGCCAAAGTTTGGGTGTTTCTTTCCATTTCAGTGGTTCCCTGTTGGGGATATCCACTCTCCACCTGCTGTGCTTGCCTGAGCAGAAAGAATTTCCCCGGGAGCATCACAGTGATACAAAACAGAGAGAGGGAGCTGCCCGTTTGCAGCAGGCTTCCCCAGGCCCTGGGGCCTTGGAGCACAAGGCTGTCCTGAGGTTGTTTGGACACTTGCCTGTGAGTGTGTCTGCATAGAAACAATACATAGAGGTGGAGGGCATGGTGCCTAGGCTGTGCTGGCAGGGAAGGTATTGTGGGCATGGCTTCCATTAGCACTAGTTTCCTGGTTAATGCTGAGTTCTTCACAGTTCCCTGGGGCCTTTGCCAAGGTCTGTGACTCAGGAGCTAGCTGCCTCCTTAAGACTGGAGGAAGATCCAGTCAGTGAGGAGAGTTTTGGGGGTAATAATTTCAGAGAAATGTGTTTGCTTAAGGTTGACAGTTCTGATTTCTGAACCTAGGGAGTAGGGGAGAAGGGAGGGGCTTAAGAGGTTTAAAGTCTCTGGCTGTCAGAGACCTGATCCAGCAAAAATGTCTTTAAAAGCCCGTCTCTGTGGACAGAGGTCATTCTCAACTCAATGGTCCCAAACTCAACTCTGAGGCCCTGGGAACAAAAAGTTCACATCTGTGCTTGGAGAACAGGGCTGTCAACCCAGGATGGGAACTCCCGGCTTGTGGCTTTTAAAAGAGGCCCCAATACAGGGTCTGGGTTGATGCTCTAAGTGAAATGTGGCCTCAAGACGTGTGTGCTCATCATTAAGGAGATAGACTCATAAAATGACTGGACTCCAAACTCTATCCCTGGAATCAGACCCAATTGCTCCAGAGATGTTGCAAGCTCCTCACCAGGGAAACGGCTGCTGAAGCTGATCCCCCTTCCGAGATCTCTGGCCTTTGTTTTTCCAGGGGAAATGCAATATTGTCCCCAGGGAGGTAAGAAGCCAGATTGATTTGCCGGCCAAATGAAAGGCGGGTTTGTGAGTTCTCCTGCTGGCTCTCCCATAATTGTGGAGTCCTTACCCAGAGGGCCCGGTGGCAGGAATATTGGGGCAGTTAGTCACGCCCCGCAGGGTTCTGACTACGCCTGCCTCCATCTCCACGGGGAAAATCCTGTGTATTCTCTGCCCCAGTGCGGAGCCCTCTGAACAGAGCGGCTCTCCTCTTCTGAAGTGACTTCCCCCTTGCCAGCCTCGTGAGCTGATATTATCAGTGGTGGAGGGGCCCTCAGCACTCACCGCCCGCCCATCTCATTTTGGAGGCAGTTTTGTGGGCGGCCTCTCTGCGCATATTCCTCATGTCTAGCCTCCATAGATATCTATTTTAGTTTTGGGGAGGTGGGGGATCCACTATCACTCTTGACACCGTGTTTTTACCAACCACAGAGGAACCTGATGAGGGCTGAAGAGAGCATTGGAGCTCTCTGGTTAAACAGTCCCTGGCTTTAATCTGTCTCTCTTAAAACAACAAAACTATCTTTCTTCGGGAGTCTGGAAACACTGCTGTTCAACCAAATGACGGCTCTGGTGGGTTGAAAACATTTGCTGCAAAGTGTGTGAGCTTATGTTTTAGGAAAAGTTACTGAGAGCCGTTCATCGGCCAGCAAGGAGCCCGCTGACAATCTCCAAAGCCCATGTTTGAAGATCAAACAGACTCCAGTTTCTGTTGCAAAAACACTCCCACCCCACCACCAGCCTGGGCCCGCTCTTCAAATTGTTCTTGGGTCCAGATTCTTGAAAGGGCTGTAGAAAACAAATTTCAGGCAAAAGAAAACAGGAATCCTCTCATTTCCTAATCTGCACACCCTTCACCACCTGCCTGAGAGCCTGACGGCACCAATTTGTCCTGATATCATTTTGGAGGGAGGTGATGAAACCTCTCCTTCATCCTTCTGGGCAGCAACGGGCTAACTGAGAAAAGTAGGAATCCAGAACCTGGGCAGAGGTCATTAGGGATCCTCAACCTGACAGTCAGAAATGCAATTGCTTTCTCAGTAAAATTGTGTGCATACATGCATACACAGTTTGATAGGCACATCTGTGATGCGTTATTGTACCGAAATATCTGTTATGTGCATCAGCTTTTTATTCTTTCTTTCCTCGAAGCATTACTGTTATTGCAAAATTGGGGGTGGGCAGTGAGCAAGGAAGATGAGGAAAAAGCTTAAAAGACTACTTTTTTATGCTAAGGCCTGAGGTTTTGGTTTTAATTTTAATGTTTTGAAGTATTTTATGTATTTTTCCTTGGTAGAAATGTGTATTTTTGCTTGATAAGTAGAGAAAGAAAGTTTAAATTGGACTTACAGAGCAGGAGGACATGGGGAGCTTTGAAAGCTGGTAACTGTTCAGCTTGCAGAAACAGCAAGCAGGTCTCATGACAGGTTTCGACCTTTTGCTTTCAAAAATAAACTCAAGGTGCTAGATTCAGTATCACCAAACTTTTACCATGTGACCTTGGGCAAGTCAGTTCCTTTCCCTGTGCTCAGTTCACTCTGCCTATGAAACCAGACACCAGGATTAGGTCATCTTTCAAGTCCCTTCCAGCCCTGACATTCCATAGGGCCATTCTAATCAATTGCACGTGCCAGGCACCCAGCAGGAAGCTCCACATACATTTCCATCTCACTGAATTTTCCTTGTAACCCTTTGGCTTTCTAAGGTGGGCACCAAGAACGGTTGAATGACTTGCCCAAGGCCACATGGCTAATAAGGAACAGAGCCAGTTTGTGGGAACTATAAATGACTGAAGAACTTCCTACATGTAGTTTCTGTGCTTGGCAGAGAGCCTTAGTGGGCTCGAGGGCAGGGGCAAAAGAGCAACACGAGAAGCGGGCTAAGGCCATTCTTCTAGCAGTCATAGCCACTGTCAACCTCTGCCCAACAAAGCAAAGCTGGGCTATGGAAGGGGTGGTGGAGAGCCAGGCCTGTTGGCACAGTCCCATAATTGCATCTCCTCAGGAAGCTGACACAGGAGATCACAAGTTCAAGCCTACCTGGGCTACAGACTTACAGAGTCTGCCCAGCCAACGTAGTGAGATCTGTGTCAAAGGGCAAAAGTCAAAAGAGGGCTAGGGATATACAGCTCAGCTGTAGGTAGTTACTACACACAAAGTACTTGGGGACTAGATTCAACCCCTCGTGCTACAGAAAATGTGATGGCCTAAGCCTTTAGGCCAGATCTTAGGGAAGTCTTAGAACCTGGAGATCCTTAATGGCTCTGCTTGCTGCTTCCAGGGACTGGTACTGATTGCCACTATGCCCTCTGGGGCAGCTGTTCTCAGCCTGTGAGTGGCAACCTCTTGACAAACCTCTATCTCCATTACAATACATAACAGTAGCAGAATTATGGTTGTGAAGTAGCAATAAAAATAATTTTATGGTTGGGGTCACCACAACATGAGAAGCTGTATTAAAGGGTCTCAGCATCAGGAAAATTGAGAACGACTGCAGGACTCTCAGTCCTTTGGCTACTTTTGCTCATTCACGCTATATGGTGGAGGCATTGGTTGAGAACACTTGAGTTAGATGGTCTTTCCAGGTTTGGTAAAAAGAACAAGGATCATGCTGTTGTGTCCATTGCTGTGTTTTACCAACATGCACTGGTGCTATCCAGTGTCTGGAGCATACCGGCTAAAAGTGCACAAGATATTCATAAAATTCTTCAATCTCTTCCTCTGGGAGTTAGACACAGAATCAATTGCTGAGCTCCGACCTTGTGCTGGGTGCAGCGCTGGACCCCAAATGATATTAACTCCACTTTATTGTCATATTTATTGTAAATTGAAACTTGAAAAAGTTGGATCATTGGCTGTGGTTACGTAGACAGACTTAGTGGACTCAGGAATGTCCATTGCTAACACCCATGTTCTTTAGGTGTTTAAAAGGTGGGATGATTTTGTTTTTTCATAGTTCATGACATTATCTGGTGAATTTGAGTAAATATATATATATATATATATATATTGTATATATATGCATGTATAGGTGTGTGTGGTGTATCATTGATAAAGTAACATATGAAATACAAAAGAAAAATAATTTAAAAGTACTGAAACTTTTTTCTCTAGATTGTAAATTGAATCTTAAAGTAATTTTAAAAGAGGAGTTCCCAAAGACATTCTGGGTACCATCTCCCTGAAATTCATCACCAGTTTCCCATGGAGCTATTCTGAAAATAGCCCCCAATTGAAGCTTAGCCTGCACAGAAAGATCTTCCGAGTTGACATATAGTGTTACCTGTGTCTTGTTCATCAACAGGTAGGAAGTGCGTTGTAAATATTTACAGAATGATGAATGAGTGATGGTCAGCAACTATGATGTGCTTCCTTTGTCCCCTTGTGTAAACCAGCATGGTGGAGTGAATGCATGAAGGAAGGTTACACAAACCACGGCAATGAATCCCCTCTCATAAACTTTAACAGCTGCATTGCTTCCTATAGGGACACAAAATAGAAAAAAATCATCAAGTTAGTTATCTTCATCCTTCTGAGACACTATGGCAAGACACCTTATACTAAGTCATTTATAAACACTGTCCATGATTCCAGAGACTGTGAAGGAAGTTACCAGAAGATTTAGTGTGTGTTGAAGGTTCATTCTTTATAGATGGGACTTCTCTGAACCCTATCATGGTAGCAAGGGACAAAAGAGAGTAGTGACTTCCCTCAGGCCTCTTTGTTATGTCATTATGAGCCAGTCTCTTCTCAGAGCCCTACTAACCCTTAATTGGTCACTCTGGGGGTTAGGTGTCAGCATATGAATTTTGGAGAGACA